CCTGCAATACCACTAAATTCCACAGTGTCAGCCACAGACCAACTGTCTAGATGATAATCTAATAATTTAAATGGAAAAAGTGAAAGAGAAATAAATTAAGAGGAAAACGCATGCAAAACTAGTAACATTAATATGGGAAGGAAAAGAAATCGTCATAATTCATGGAAAATGCATTTGTATGTATGGGAAAAAGCACATATGTGTATGTAGTATATGTATGATAGCAGCAGCTACGATAAGGGCATTTCGGTCCGTCAAGTTGTATACTTTCTCTTAATATCGCAATAAGATCTTAGCCAATTAAGATTATTTCAAGAAATCCAAGGAAAAGCTTCTCTTGGATTTCTCGTGATTTTAAGAATATTTCTGCAAATTGCTGAATTTTCGACCACTTTCTAACGAACACAGAAATACTGACCAACGGAGGCGACTCTATATTTGCCGCAGGATATGCAGTGGTCAGCTTTGTCCGGCACTTTCCATTGCTCTGAATTTTCCAGATGCTTAAAATTATGCATGGTGGAGAGGTCATTCAGCATCAGCCATTCGGTGATCCGTGTTCGCAGTTCGCAAACAGACATCGAATCCGCTACAGACGCACTGATCGTTGGCTTCAGGGTTTGCAATATTGAGCTTAAATCATCTTTGGAAAGATCGAATATTGTTGTTGAGGATGGTGATGATGCCGGTGCCATCTGCAAAAATTTATATATTGCATTTAAGCGGGTGATCAAAGTAAAACGGGCAAAATATTCGTTTGTAACGGAGCAGAGAGCGACGGCAAAAGATGCTTGAGGTGTCACATACTTAACCAGACGCTGCAAACTTCATTCGCAATAGTGATGCTCAACACACACCAGTGACACCTCAGATAAATCCTTGCTATAAGTGCTGCTGTAAGAAGAATCACTGAGTTTGTAATATACTTCCAAACGAATGTCAGGATCACCAGCAACAGTAATAACCTGACCACTAGGCTGACCACCAGGCGATGCAGCGCATTGGCCAAAGCAACTGGAAAAGTTGTCAGCTATGCTACATTGAATGCAACTGACCAAAATATAATAATGATGGATGAAGACAAAATTATCATTTGTTGATGAAATATTTGTTTCGGAGAATCTAATCTGTGGAGTAATAGCAGGTGTGGTAGAATTAGCGATGATGTTGACAGGAGGCCAGGATTTTAATTGAATGAATGATTGAAGTGGGCACGCAAGCGTTGCTATGGAGAGATATCGCGCGCAGGTGTCTTACAACAAGCATTTCACAGCTAGCAACAGAATCCTGCAAAAATTGGCTACGAACTATCAGAAACACAAGTAATCCCGGGAAATTTTTGGGATTATTTAGGACTCAGACACCTCGTTCCGATAATTCTGCGAAATTTTTATGCGAGACTTAATCTAAAAACTGCATTCTTGGAAGTTCCTGGGAGACCCTCGCTATGCTTTCCATCAAATGAACAGCCTAAAATACG